GTCCAATGCTGTCACCACCCACTAGGATCCCCCATAACCCTGGTGTCATCCCAGAGTCCACTGCAACCACGTGCCATCATCCCCCAAGAGCCATCATCTTAGGAGCCAAGTACTATGACAAGCTGTATTTCAGTTGTCCTCTGGAGCCACATGGTACTTAAGTTGTTCACTTAAGGGGAACCAGCACAAAGGCCATATTCTCGTTTCTACAAAGTGGACAGGGGTGGGGCCACCTGCCTCCCTCTGGTGACTTCATCCCCACTCTGGCCCTCCTTATGTCACTGCCTCAATCCTGACCAAGGATGATGCCTGGATCAACCCCACCACAGATGTGGCCTCAGCCAGCCTCACCTCGGCCCCCAGGCCCCTCCTGACAGCATCGCTGCCCCTCACCCAGCCAACTGATTGGTGACAGGGTCCACCCAGCAACCTCTCATCATCAGCAGAGGGGGAGCATTCCAACCCTCGGGTGACACCACTACCCCCTGCCCAATCCCTGTCCCCTGGGCCCCTACTAGGATCGGCACTTTGCTGGCTCCCACCAAATTCTCCTCAGAGACCCCTGATCCCCACGGGACGGGCCAAAGCTGGTGACCGACCTGGGGCCTTCCATGCTGTTCTGCTGGCCTGATCCTGCAGCAGAACACTGCAGAGCACATCTGCCAGGGCCAGGGTGCTCCTTCACCTCCCTCCCTAACGCCCTAACACCCCCGGAGCCTCCAGGGGTGCAGGAAGTCCCCAGCACCCAATGCACAATCTGCCCTCTATTCTCTTTGTACATAGCCATGTTGCGGGGGCGGCCATTCCCCCACTCTTAAAGGGCTACAAGCCCCTCCCCCAGCCCCCAGGGCGAGGTGGGGGGGGCCTTTTCTTCCTCCCCTGGGCCGTCCCCCTCCCTTTTATGTCTCCTCTCAAACACTGGCACCTCATGCTCCTTCTTGTCAGGAGCTTGGGGCAGACAGGTGGCCCTTGGCTCCCCCCACACTGAAGAAATGGGGGGGGTTACCCAAATCTACCTAGGCCCCGGTGCCAGTTTTTCAACCCCATGGCTTCTAGCTGCTCTGAGGGGCTCCTCCCATCCCTTCCGGGGGCCTAAAGGAGCCAGCTTGAGCACCCGCCCCCTCCCAGTCCCTTCCCTCTGCTCAACACCTCCACAGAACACTCAGCTTTCTCCAGCCCCCAGAATTTGGGGATTTGGGCCTTTCAGCTTTTGTATGCCCCCCTTCACTAGCTCTAGCCCAGCCTGGTTCCAGGAATCCTGCCCCCAGCCCTGTCCCCATTCAGTCAGCACAGGCTGCCTGACCCTGGGGCCTTGATTTGCTCTTGAATAAGCCATAGAGGGGAGAGGTCTCGAGGGGTGGGAGCAGCTGTGTACTGCCAATTCCCCTCCACATTTCCCGAGCTGGGGTCTCATCAACTGAGTCTTCCCCATTCCCCAACAAACGCACACAAACCCATGCACACACAAGCGTGCACACACGCACACACACACACAGAGGCATCTCCCCTTCTGGTTGGGGGAGCTAGGGAGGGGCGGTTCACAGGGAGAAGATAAACAGCTCCACACCCGAAGACTCTCCAACAGCTTCTGCCTCCCTCCTCATCCCTTCCTCTCTCCACTCCCCTCTCCCACACTGGCCCCTTCCCCTCCCGCTGGTGAGGACAGCCAGAGTTGCTGCGACTTGGTATTTTTTGGAATAAATAGACATTTTCCTGATCCAAGGTCTCAAGGTTCCCTGTGTGGAAAGGATGGATTTCCACCCACATTTATGGGTCAGTGGGGAGTCCTCCTCACCTGGAACATGTGGGTGGGTGTAGGAGGTGGGCCATTTGCCAAAGGATGGGTTTCTAAGCGTTTGTTCCCAGGCCAGGGCCCACCACCAAGCTGAGGAGTCGGGATGGAGGTGCGGTGCACTGTGGGGTGCTTTTAAGTTCTGGGTTTTGTCCTAGAAAGCCCTCTGTCCTCTGAGCATGTGAGCATTTGTGTGTAGATTCTAGAAATCACCTCCTTATATTCAAATTATTTGGCTGAACAGCATTAAAGGGTGGGGTGGGGGCGGGGGTGTACTAGTGTCTCAGAATGTTAGGGCTCAAGGTTCTGGAGGCTGAAAGTCTGAGATCAAGGAGGTGGCAGGCCGGCTGAGTGCGGTGGTTCACGCCTATAATGTCAGCACTTTGGGAGACTGAGGCAGGTGGACCTCCTGAGGTCAGGAGTTCGAGACCAGTCTGACCAATATGGAGAAACCCCATCTCTACTAAAACTACCAAAAAAGTTAGCCAAGTGTGGTGGCAGGCATCTGTCATCCCAGCTACTCTGGAGACTGAGGCATAAGAAACCCTTGAACCCAGGAGGCGGAGATTGTGGTGAGCCGAGATCGTGACATTGCACTCCAGCCTGGGCAACAAGAGTGAAACTCCATCTCAAAAATAATAATAATAATAAATAAAAATTAGCCAGGTATGGTGGTGCGTGCCTGTGGTCCCAGATACTTTGGAGGCTGCGGGAGGATCGCTTGAGCCTAGGAGTTTGAGGCTGCAGTGATCTATGACTGCACCACTGCACTCCAGCCTGGGCAACAGAGTGAGACCCTGTCTCAAAAATAAAAAATAGTCGGATGTGGTGTCCCATGCCTGTAATCCTAGCACTTTGGGAGGCCGAGGTGGGCGGATTTCTTTAGGTCAGGAGTTCGAGAGCAGCCTGGCCAACATAATGAAACCCTGTCTCCACTAAAAATACAAACATTAGCCTGTTGTGGTCGCGGGTGCCCGTAATCCCAGCTGCTAGGGAGTCTGAAGCAAGAGAGTCGCTTGAGCCAGGGAGGTGGAGGTTGCAATGAGCTGAGATCGCGCCATTGCACTCCAGCCTGGGCAACAGAGCAAGACTCTGTCCCAAAAATAAAAAATAACAAAGGAAGCACTCCCCCTACCTGCTTCTCTCTCCCACCGGGTGCGTTAAAATATTTGCGTGGTGCTAACTGCAGTTGCCTCCTTAAGGGCCTTACTGCTTGGATGCCAACTCTGGCCAGGAGAAGAGCTACCTCTATGTACCAATTTTATGAACTTTAGGAAAATTCTTCCTAGATGCAACTAAATGTTTGTCTCTAAGCTGCAGGCTTTCACCTTGCATCTGAGGTTTGTTTGCACATTACTCTGGAAAGAGAATTGGAGAGACAGAGATAAAAGAGAGGTAAAAAAAGACCACAGGGCAGCAACTACCCATCTGTAGTTTGAGACTCCAAGGGGCATGGTTGAATTTTATTTTCTGCTACGCTAGTTCACTGATTTAATCAACAAGATACAGTGAACGGCACAAACAAGGTCCTTGTTCTTCAGGAACAAGTGAACGCATGGAAGTCCCTGGGTTCTTCTATAAACCTCTCTTGGCTTCTGTTCCTGGCAATCAAATATACCCTGACAATGACGGTGATTGTTTTGTGTGTGTGTGTGTGTGTGTGTGTGTGTGTGTGTGTGTTTTAATCTTTCACTGCCAGGCTTTACACACAAATGACAGTGATTGTTATATAGGGGAAAAATTTTAGAAAATCCAGAGAAGCAGGAGACAACAAAATGGAGATCGCCTGATTTCTTGCTGCTCAGAGTCAAATGCTGTTTGCATTAGCTATGTTTTCTTACAAACTTTTCTTCATGAAAACAATCGTTTTTTAACAAATCAGCCTTCCTATACATAGACTTCTCTGTAACCCCTTTTCTTTTCTTTCTTTTTTTTTTAGACGGAGTCCCGCTGTCACCCAGGCTGGAGTGTGGTGGCGTGATCTCGGCTCACTGCAACCTCTGCCTCCCAGGTCCCGGTTCAAGCAATTCTCCTGCCTCAGCATCCCGAGTAGTTGGGATTACAGGCACCCGCCACCATGCCCAGTTAATTTTTGTATTTTTAGTAGAGATGGGGTTTCATCCTTTGGCAAATGGCCAGGCTGGCCTTGAGCTCCTGACCTCGTGATCTGCCCTCCTCGTCCTCC